CAGAAAGTTTAATAGCTTGTTAACGTTTTCTCCTGTCCTGACGATAAAAGATCATCCCCATATGGGAACAGTAACGCCTCCTCCAGAGGTTGGAGTCAATCCAAAATCTTTTCTAGAATTCACCCAAATAAATCAGTGACCCCGAGGTAAAATTGTCTGTCTGTATCGCTGCTTTCACCCCGTTTCAGGGTCTTCCCACTCAAATATACCTGTGCTCTCAGCAAAGAGAGCCCCCCAAATCCACCCCAAATTCCCCACCCGCGCCTCCCCCGACTTTCGGACCGGAGGCGGGGCCTGGAGGGGCGTGGTGGGCGTGGCCCCGCCCTCCCCGTGCCCTGCCCACCGAGGCCCCGCCCCCTCCATATAACGCGCGGCCCCGCGGGGCCCCCCCGCGATCTTCTCACCGTGGCTCCCAGGCGACCGGCTAGTGAGCGACCATGGTGAGGGGGGGGGGGGGGGCCGGGGAAGGGACCCCCCCCCCGTGCCCCGAGTGGGGCCGGGCTCCGGGGGCTGCGGACCCCCGCGTGCCTCCCGATAACGCGTGGGGTCGGGCCCCGAGGGGGGCCGGGGTCTCGCGTGTCCCGCGTGGGTGCAGGGGCGCGGGGGCCGTGGGAGGCGCAGGGCCTGGGTGTGGGGAGGGGGAGGTTGGGCAGCGACCCCCGGAGGGGCTCAGTCCCCGTGGGCAGTCCCGGGGCTCCCGTCCCCTCGGTTTTGGGGCGTCCCCGCGTGGGTCCTGGGTCTGCCCCCCCCTCCCAAGACCGCGCACCCTGGGGCTCAACAGGTAGGGGGGAGCCCACTCCAAGAGCCCCCCTGTGGGGTGCGGGCCCCCTGGCGCTGGGAGCGCTCCCCATGGGGAGGGGGGAGTCACGCGTGGGGGCAGCCCCCACGTTTCGCCCTGCTCTGCCCGGGTGAAGCCGGACGGGGCCAGAGGGAGGCTCCCGCTGGCATCGGGGCCACGCTCCCGAAGTCTTCAGAGTTTTCTCTCGCCCTGCCCCGAGCCGTGGAACCGGCACCGGTGGCGCCACGGAGCCTGCCGTGAGTCAGGGCTGGCGATGCCGGGCTGGGTGGGCAGGATCCGGCCCCTACAGAGGCACCGGGGCCAGGCGAGCTCCGCATTGCAACACCCCAGCGGGGTGGAAGGGGGAATTCCCTGGGAATTCCCCCTTGTTGGGGAGCAAGCTCTGGGCATAACCACGGGTAAAAGCCCTGCGCCCAGCTCCCTCGGGTGGGCTGCAGCAGGGGGCAAACCGAACAAGCCCCCGAACACCTCTCCTGCGCCCCGCAGCGCGAGTGCATCTCCATCCACGTGGGCCAAGCGGGCGTGCAGATCGGCAATGCGTGCTGGGAGCTGTACTGCCTGGAGCACGGCATCCAGCCCGACGGGCAGATGCCCAGCGACAAGACCATCGGCGGGGGGGACGACTCCTTCAACACCTTCTTCAGCGAGACGGGGGCCGGCAAGCACGTGCCCCGGGCCGTCTTCGTGGACCTGGAGCCCACGGTGATCGGTGAGCGCGGGGAGCTTGGGGTGGGGGGCGGTGGGTGCCTGAGGGGGTGCCCGGTGCTAACGGGGTGCCGGTGCTGTCCCGCAGACGAGGTGCGCACGGGGACGTACCGGCAGCTCTTCCACCCCGAGCAGCTGATCACGGGCAAGGAGGATGCGGCCAACAACTACGCGCGGGGGCACTACACCATCGGCAAGGAGATCATCGACACCGTGCGCGACCGCATCCGCAAGCTGGTGAGGGGTCCCATGGGGTCTCTGGGGGGGCGTGCCCAGCCCCAGGTGGACCAGATACAATGGGAAGCGGGAGGAGGAGGCGATGAGCACGTCCTTCTCGCTCCATCAGCACGCTGGGATGCATCATTTGGGGAGAACAGGTGGGGCTGCCCTGGGGGGGCTGGGACAGGGGAGACAGGTCCGGGCTGTCCCCTGGCTCCGGGCTGTCCCCTCCCCAACGCCTGCCCCGGGGCCCTGTCTGAGCCTGGTGCCAAGCCCGGCTGTGCTGTGGTCAGGACAGGAGGCTGGGACCCCGTGGGCAGTGCAGCCCTGGCGTGGGTGCTGGGGTGGGTGTGGTGGTTTTACATTGCTGGGCAGCTTGAGCTCCACCACGGCCGCTCTCTCACTCCTTCTCCTCAGAAGAGGATGGGGAGAAGAAAAGGAAAGAAACAACTCATAGGGTAAGATAAGGATAATTGAATTAAAGGAAGAAATAGGAAACAAATAAAGGAAAAGGCAGGGCATCAACACATGTTCAGGGGACAGACGTTTTCACAAGAGCCCACCCCTCCCTTCTTCCTTTTCCCACCTTATATTGCTGAAAGAGGCATCATATGGCATGAAATATCCCTTTGGTCAGTTTAGGACAGCTGCCCTGCTGATGTTCCCTCCCCACCTCTTGCCCATCCCCAGCCTGCTGGCTCTAGGGGGGGCTTAGAGGGAATCCTGATGCCGTGCCAGCACTGCTCAGCAGCAGACACAACACTGGGGGGACACCACTGCTGTTCGAGCTCCACGTGCAGAGCGCAGCGCAGCATGGGCTGCTGCAGGGAAAGTTCACCCAGTCCCAGCCAGACCAGCACAGTGGGGCTGGTTGGACTGGTGCGGCTGCCCTGAGCTCTTTGAACCTCGGTTCCCACGCCGGGGCCAGCGCCGTGGTTAGCCGGACCTGCTGTGCCGCCGGCTCTGCCCTGGGTGCTCCTGGCACATCAAAGGCTGCAGCACGCTGCCCGCGGGCTGGCTCCAGACACGAGGCTCCAGCTGCCTCTGTGCCAGGGCACGAAGCCATGGCTGACCTGCTCCAAACCCCCTCCATCTCTCCTCCTAGGCTGAGCAGTGCACGGGGCTGCAGGGCTTCCTGGTCTTCCACAGCTTCGGGGGTGGCACCGGCTCCGGCTTCACCTCCCTGCTCATGGAGCGTCTCTCGGTCGACTACGGCAAGAAGTCCAAGCTGGAGTTCTCCATCTACCCGGCCCCCCAGGTGTCCACGGCCGTGGTGGAGCCCTACAACTCCATCCTCACCACCCACACCACGCTGGAGCACTCCGACTGCGCCTTCATGGTGGACAACGAGGCCATCTACGACATCTGCCGCAGGAACCTGGACATCGAGAGGCCCACCTACACCAACCTCAACCGGTTGATCGGCCAGATCGTGTCCTCCATCACGGCCTCCCTGCGCTTTGACGGAGCCCTCAACGTTGACCTGACCGAGTTCCAGACCAACCTGGTGCCGTACCCACGCATCCACTTCCCCCTGGCCACCTACGCCCCCGTCATCTCGGCCGAGAAGGCTTACCACGAGCAGCTCTCGGTGGCCGAGATCACCAACGCCTGCTTCGAGCCGGCCAACCAGATGGTGAAGTGCGACCCGCGGCACGGCAAGTACATGGCGTGCTGCCTGCTGTACCGCGGGGACGTGGTGCCCAAGGACGTCAACGCCGCCATCGCCACCATCAAGACCAAGCGCACCATCCAGTTCGTGGACTGGTGCCCGACGGGTTTCAAGGTGGGCATCAACTACCAGCCTCCCACGGTGGTGCCCGGGGGGGACCTGGCCAAGGTGCAGCGTGCTGTGTGCATGCTGAGCAACACCACGGCCATCGCCGAGGCCTGGGCCCGCCTGGACCACAAGTTCGACCTGATGTACGCCAAGCGTGCCTTCGTGCACTGGTACGTGGGGGAGGGCATGGAGGAGGGGGAGTTCTCGGAGGCCAGGGAGGACATGGCCGCCCTGGAGAAGGATTACGAGGAGGTGGGGGCTGACAGCGTGGAGGGCGACGAGGAGGGGGAGTACTAGTGCCTTGTCTGTTCTGCCAGCTGCACCACGAGCTGTTCATTAAAAGCCCACCCTGCATCACCCTGCCTCTCGTTTATTGTCCCAACACACTCTGCGTCACGCTCACCTGGGCAGGACCCCCAGGTGACGATATTTTGGGGGCTTCCTTGTGGGTGGGGGCTGTCCTACAGGGGGGCATGCTGGCTGGTGGGGAGTACCTTGAGTGGGTTGGGGGCTGCTCCTACTGTGGGTGGGTTACACGGTGCTGGGCTGTCTGCACAGCGCCTGGACTGGGGGCTGAGCCCTCCCCTGTGCCATACGGCGTCCCTGGGGCTCCCCAGAACCCTGCTGGGCTGCCACACGGGTGGGGGACCCTGGGGGTGACTCCTGGGGATGCCTGGAAGCCCCACTGGTACCTCACACCCTGCCCCTAATCGTGGCCGGGGCTGTCCCCAGATGCCCTCCAGCACCAGTCCTTGGTCCTCAGATGCCCTCCAGCATTGGTGCATGGGCGGGGAGCAGGATGCGGCCCTGGGCAGGGCTGGGTTAGCCCAGGGCGCTGGTGCAGACGGGCCCTACGTGGTGTCGCAGCTCCTGGGCTGCCTGGCGTCACTCTGCAGAGCCTGGGGGGGCTGCTGGGCTTGGTGGGGAGCGGAGACCCCCCCCCCCGCAGCACCCGGCCGCTTCCCGTAAAGCACCGCCCTGCTGCAGCCGTGCCCGGGAAGGGGGAGGGGGGGATGGAGGGGGGCCAAGGCCCGTTATTCAGCGCTGCCCCTGTGCATGGCGGCTCTGCAGGAGCCAAGTCACGGCCCCGGGGGGTGTGGGGGGGACAGGGTGCCCCCTCCCTTGGCTGTTGGGGATAGGGCCTGCAGCGCTCTGGGCAGGGGGCACCCAGCTGGGGGGGGGCTCTGAGGAGCCTTGCAGAAGTCCTAATGGATCTCCCTTTGCATCCCCACGGGGGGGGGAGCAGCTGTGTCCCCCCCAGCCCCACCCCACACTATGTCAGGGACCCCCCCCGCGGTTCCTGCCCGTGCACCCCCCGGCACCTCTCCAGCACCCCCGCACCCCGCGCCCCCCCCCAACCCCCCGGTGCCATCGTTCCCCGCGCCCCCGGGGCGCTCCCCGCAACCCGAGGCGGGGGCGGGCCGCGCTCCCCCCGCCCGCAGCCCCGTCCTCTCGCTACCGGAGCCCCCCGGCGGGGCGGAGCAGCCTCCCGCTATAAACGACCGGAGCCTGGGGCCGCCGCCGCCTCCCCGCCGCTGCCATGGACCGAGGCAGCCGCGCCCCCCCCGCGCCCCGCCGCGCCCCCGGGGTCCCACCGGCCCCGGTCTCCGCCGCTCCCGGGCGCTTGGCGGAGGCGGCGGCCGCACGGGGAGCGGAGCGGGCGGAGCTGGCGGCGCTCAACGATCGTTTCGCGGCGTTCCTGGAACGGGTGCGGGCGCTTGGAGCGGCAGAACGGGGCCCTGCGCTCCGCCCTGGGCCGCGCCGCCGCCGCCGCCGCCCCCCGAGCCGCGGGGCTGGTGCAAGGGCGAGCTCCGGGGGCTGCGGGACCGGCTGCAGCGCCTCGGCCGGGACCGCGATCGCCTCCAAGCCGAGCGCGACGGGCTGGCCGCCGAGCTGCGGGGGCTGCGGCAGCGGTGGGCGGCGGGCCCGGCACCGGGGGGGACCGGGGAACGGCCCGGGAGGGGCGGCGCTGGGGAGTGGGGGGCGAGGGGGGATGCGCCCGGGTGGGGACCGGGGCGTGAACCGGGATAGGGACCTGGGGGGGGAACCGGGATGCGCTGGGTACGACCGGGAGTGTCCCGGTGACAGGGACGTGCGCCGGGATGGGGAGCTGGGGGTGCCCCAAGGAACATTGGGGTGGGCACCGGGGGGTGCCCCGGGACGCCCTGGAGAAGGCACCGGGATGGGGGTGATGGAGACACCCCGGGAGTGAAGTGGGGATGGGGGCGGGGGGCGCCGGGGCTGCTGGGGAGGGGACCGGGGCACGCAGCGCGGTGCTCTGGGGGGAACCGGGGGTCTTTTGGGGAGGGTCCAGGGGGTGCAGCCGCTGTGCGCTGGGGAAAGTTGTGGGGATGCACGGGAGGGGCTGGGGGGGAGCGAGGGCACTGCGGAAGGGTGGGGCCCAAGGGCAGGGCGCAGGGTCCCCGCCTTGCAGGAGGGGACGCACTGGGAGCAAACTGGGACGAGCACTGGGAGGAGGTGGGGCCAGAGGTGGAGGTGGGCCCCCCGGGGAGGAGCAGGTCCCAGTGAGGGATCCTATAGGGCTGCAAGGGGGTGGGGGCCCTGCCCCAGGGCACTGCAACAGGGACCGGGGTGGGGGACCCCAGGGATCTGTGGGTTCTGCGGGGGGGGGGGGGGGGGAGCTGCCTGCAGCTGGGGGGTGCGAGGGGCTTGTGGGGCCCCTTTTCCTCCTCCTCCCCTATCCTCTGCGCTGTGCAGGGGGACCCAGGCAGTGGCAGGCTCAGGGTGGGGGGTCTGCACCCCGTCCCCCTCCTTCCTTCTCACCGCTGCTGCCCCCCAGGCTGGAAGATGAGATGCAGAAGCGGGAGGATGCGGAGAAGAGCCTCGTGCTGTTCCGCAAGGTGAGCGGGTGGGGGTCCCCGGCCCCCACGCACCCCACACAGCCCTGTGCCTCTGTGCAAAGTCTTGGCGATGCACCGGGTGCTCCCCGCGCTGCACAGACCAAGGGCGGGGGGGACATGGTGGGGGTCCTGGGGGTCCCGTTCCTTTTGTATTCCCCTCGGCTTAGCCTGGACTCTCCTTGCAGGACGTGGATGACGCCACGCTGTCCCGCCTGGAGCTGGAGCGCAAAATTGAGCTGCTGATGGACGAGATCGGCTTCCTGAAGAAGCTGCACGAGGAGGTAGGGGCCAGGGCTGTGGGGCGGCGAGGGGGGTGTGATGGGGGGATGCCGGCATGACCTCCCACGTGCCGTGGCACCAAAGGAGCTGCGGGACCTGGAGGTGAGCGCGCAGAGCCAGCAGGCGGAGGTGCAGGTGGAGCTCCGCCAGCCGGACCTGACGGCCGCGCTGCGCGACATCCGCACCCAGTACGAGAGCATCGCCGTGAAGAACCTGCAGGAAGCCGAGGAGTGGTACAAGTCGAAGGTACCCGGGGACATGGGGGGGGACACGGGGAGGGGGCGGGATGCCCCCGCAGCCCTGACACCCCCACGCATGGTCCTCGCAGTTCGCCGATCTCTCAGACGCGGCCAACCGCAACCACGAGGCGCTGCGGCTGGCGAGGCAGGAGATGAACGAGTCCCGGCGGCAGATCCAGAGCCTCACCTGCGAGGTGGATGGGCTGAAGGGCATGGTGAGCACCTGGGGACACGGGGGGGGGGGGTACACGCAGGGACCAGCCGCAGCCCCCTGCCACCCCTTCTCCCCCCCCTCCCCAGCAGAACGAGGCGCTGCAGCGGCAGATGCGGGAGATGGAGGACGAGTTCGGGGTGGAGATCGGGAGCTACCAGGACGTGGTGGGGCGGCTGGAGCAGGAGATCCAGCACATGAAGGAGGAGATGGCGCGGCACCTGCGCGAGTACCAGGACCTGCTCAACATCAAGATGGCCCTGGACATCGAGATCGCCACGTACCGCAAGCTGCTGGAGGGCGAGGAGAGCCGGTGAGGGGCCGCGGTGGTCCCGCTGGGGAGGGCAGCACTCGGGCTGGGACACGAGGGAGGGAGCAGCACCCGTGGCCTCGTGTCCCTGTCGGCACTGGGAGCCCTACTGGGGTGCAGCCGTGCAGACCCCGGCCATAGAACAGGGTCGCCCCCCACCCCGGTCACCCCCTTGTGATGGAATTTAACTGCTCCGCGCATCGCTGCCACGCTGGGAGAAGTTCCCTGAGAATTTCTCGCTGCACACACAAAAAACCAAGGCCAGGCAGGGGAGCTGCCCCAGCCCTGCTGCCGCCGCCAGCCCCGAGCTCCTCCCGCAGCCGAGGGCTCAGCACGGGACAGGGTCACCGCGACCCCCCCACGCACCCCCCTCACCGCCCTCTCCCTCCCCAGGGCCACCTTCCCCCTGCACCCCGCTGCCTCCTTCAGCACCAGAAGCTCAGGTGAGGGCTGGCCGGGCTGAGGGGGGAGCCCAGATTTGGGGGAATGGGGACCCCCAGAGGGTCCTTTGGGGCTGTGCCCCCCCCCCCCCCAACCTGCACCCCGAGGTCCCGCTGGGGGGCTGACGGCTTCTCCATGCCCCAGTGCTTGAGCTGGAGCCGGTGCCGAGCCCCGTGCGGAGGATGCTGCTCATCAAAACCATTGAGACGAGGGACGGGCAGGTAAGCAGCGGGGGGGCTGCACCCCCCCCGGTGCGGGGTTGACCCCCCCTGGTGCGGGGCTGACCCCCCAGATGTGGGGCTGACCCCCAAATTCTCCCCCCACAGCAGGTGGTGACGGAGTCGCACACGGAGCGAGCGGAGCCCAAGTGAGGGGGGGCTCCCGGTGCCCCCCCCCGGTGCTGCCCCCACCGACGGAGGCCAGAGCGGACCCCTGGGACTCCCCGGTGCGGGCCGGGGAGCGGGGCCGCCCCCCCGTGCCCCCCCCCGTATTTATCGCTGGTTATCGCCCTTTGGTTCTCCCCGTGCCGCTGCCGCCGCGGGCGGATTTTCCGTTGTACCGAGCGCGCCCCCCCCAACACCCCGCCCCGGTGCTGCCCCCCCGGGGGTGGGCAGGGGACGGGGAGGCCCTGGGGGGGGGGCCGGGTGCTGCACCCCCCCGTCGTCCCCGTTCGCGCTTGAGCGGCAAATAAAGGCTGGAGCCCGGAGGCGGCGCTGTCGGTGGCGGTACCGGGGGTCGGGACCGGGACCGGGACCGGGGACCCTTCCCCCCTGGCGTTACGCGGCCCCCCCGGTGGCGAGAAGAGCCGGGTCCTGGACCCCCCCGGGATGCCCCGTTCCCCCCGGGACCCGCTCCGGCCTTGGGGCTGTGCCGAGGCTGCTCGGTTCCAGCCCCGGGATGGGGCTGGGGGCGGCACCGCTGGGACCCCAGCCCCAAATACCACCGGGTCCCCGCCTGGGGCTGCGGGGGGAGGACGAGCACGGCCCGGCCAGCGCCCCCCCAACTCCACCCATCCCGGGGCATATTTTTTTTTGGGGGGGTGAGGTCCTCAGCCCGCCCCTAAGCCCCCCCCGCATCCTCAACAAACACACGGAGCGGTGAAGGCAGGGGGGGTGCCCCCCCCCCCCCCCCCCCCGCAGGACCCAGGTGTTTGGGTGCTGCCCCCCCCACGCCATAACTGTGACCCCCCCCCCCGATCCGTGCTGGCCCCTGTCCTGCCCGGTGAGCAGCGAAGCGGGGTCATGGGGAGGGGGCACGAGGGGGGGCAGACCCTGACGGTGCCGTGGTCCCCTCCTGGGCCGGGGGCACCGCAGGAGCTGCGCGGGGGGGGGGGCGCAGGGACCCCCACAAACCGCGGGGGGGCGCCCAAGCTGCACGGCCAGGTCCGCTCCTTACCCAGGAGAGCACATCCACGCTGCCAGCCCCCCCCCTCGAATGAAAGCAGCACCCCAGGTACGCCCCCTACCCCCCCCCCCACCCCACGCTGCCTGGGGGGGCCGTGTCGGTGCTCAGGACCCCCCTCATGCCCCCCACCCGCAGGCACTGAGCCCCCCAGAGCATCCTCCAACGTTGGTTTGTATGGGGGGGGGGTTAAGGGACAGGTGCCAGTGCTGCCCCCCCCCCCAAAAAAAAAAAATCCCATCCCTGCTGTCTCGCCTTGGGGCGTCCAAAGAGGGCTTCTTCTGCACACTTGTCACACCAGGGGGGTGACAAGCCGGGGGGGGGGGCGAATGCAGCGCTGGCTCTGCCCAAGGCTCAGGTGGGGTGCTCTGGGGGGGGGGGGGGAGATGGACGGACCCTGGGTGAGGGGAGGGAGACCTGGGGTCAGAGGGGTCTGGGGAGAGGGGCAGGGGGACATTGCCTGGGGAGGTGGAGGGGACCCCGGGGTTCAGGCCGGAGGGGACAGCATGGGGCAGGGTGGTGGGGGGCACCCTGGGGTGCCCCCCCATGCTGGGGGTGTCCCACGCAGAGCTGTTCACTCAGGCTCTCCCCCGCAGCGTGTGCCCCTGCTGCTGCAGCTGCTGTGGCAGGACTTGCAGGACCTTCCCGGCATCACAGAGGTGCTCAGGAACCTTTGGGGTCCTGGGCCCCCTGTCCCCCCCCCGTCCCCCCCACCTCCCCCAGGCCCCCTGCAAGCACCCGGGGCAGCTGTGACCACGTCCACCCCCCCCCTGGGGCTGGGGGCTGCCCCCATGGGCACCCCCACGCTGCTAATAAACTCCTTTGTGCTGCACGTTGCTGTGGGGTCTCTGTGGGTGCTGGGGTGTTGGGGACCCCTGCCCTGCCGCTGCACCCATGGGTGCTGTCCCTCCTGCCCCCTCTCCCCCCGCCCCCCCCCGCTGGCCAGGCAGTGCCCACGCTGGGGAGGTCCAGGGTTGTGGTGTGGGGGGGGGGCATTTTGGGGCATCCTCCTGCCACCCCGGGGACCCCAAATACTGCCAGGGCACGCAGGTCGTCCCAGCGTGCTCCCCCCCAAAAAGTGTGCATGGTGAAGGGGGGGGCCCTTCGCATCCCCGGGGGGGGCCCTTCCCATCCAGCATGGCCAAAAGGTGCCCGTTATCATCCTCACCAGCAGCCCCAAGTCTGTTACCAGCATGGTGGTGACTGGGCAGATGGGGCCAGCACCGAGCAGGGGGGTCACTGCCCCCCCCCTCGGTCCCCAGTGTCCCCCCCACGCTGTCCCCAGGAGGCAGCAGCCACGTCTCCAAACCCAGCGTGGTTTATTGGGGGAACACGAGCTCAGTGATCAGCCGCAGGGTTTGGGGATGGGGGGCTCCAGGGGGGCAGACGGGAGAGCACCTGCCCCCCCCCCCCAGTGTCCTTGGGGGTGCTGGCATGCGGGGGTGCGTGGAACACAGTGGGGGGGGGGGGAATCACAGGATTTGGGGGGGGGGCATTTACACGTGGGGGGGCTGCTGCGTGCACGCGGGTGTGCAGGGAGCCGCTGTGCGAGCGTGCACGCGGGTGTGCACGGGGTGGGGGGGCACAGGGGGGGCTGCGAGGTGTTTGTGCACATGGTGTGCGCGTGGGGCACCAAGCGTGGGGGGGGGCGTGTGTGTGTGCGCATGGGGGGGATCCTCGTGGGTGTCCCATCACCCTGGGGACGTTTCGGGGGGCGGACAGGCCGGTGGGGGCCGTGCAGCAGGAGGTGCCCCCCAACCCCCCCCGGCACCCCATCCCCGGGGGGGGGGGGCTCAGTCGGGGTAGATGATGAAGCCCGAGAAGGTGCTGTACTTGTTGGTGTTGCCGCCGTGCACCTTGCCAGCCGTCCAGCTTGACGCAGACCTCGTCGCCCACGTCCAGGTGCAGGATGACGCTGTTGCTGGCGTAGTCGTAGTTCTGGTCCGCGTCCTGCGCGATGGCGCTGGCCCGCACCTGGGGGTGCAGCACCCACCCCCCCCCCCGCACCCCCGGTATAATAAGCAGGGGATCAGGAGCAGGGTGCTGAGCTGCTCCGTGCCACCCCCAGCCCGCTTGAGCCCCCCCTCCCCAGTCCAGCGCCACTCAAGGTCGTGCCGCCCATCTGCGGCAGAACTGGGTGAGGGACCCCAGCATCGCCCCCCCGGACCCCCCCAGCAGCTGGCAGGGACAATTTGCCCCCCCTCCTCGTAATCTGGGGTCCCCCAGGATGGGACGGCCCCGCAGTTGGGGCTGGGTCTCCCACCCTGCCTGGTCCCAAAAGGAGTCAGAGAGCCCCAATGCCCCCAGGAGCCGGTGGCTGTCCCCTGCCCCGTGTTCCTCTTCCTGGTGGGTGTGGGGGGGGGGAGAGGGTTTTGGGGGCACCCAGGGAGAGGGGGGCAGCTCCCAGTGGGGCGGCGCAGCTGGCATCGACCGCAGCAGATCGATGCTCGTTTATCCCATAATAAATGGAAAACGTCCGGGGCGAGGCGGGGAAGGGAGCTGCCGGCCGGGCTGTGAACAAAGGGACCAAGTGGGGGGCACAACCGGTGCCCCCCCAGTGCTGGCCAGGCAACCAGGGGCATCCGTCCTGGCTGGGGGGGCACAGCCGGTCCCCCTGGCTACAGGCAGACCCTGCTCTCTGCTGGCTCTGAGCCCCCCAGTCCCGAGGGAGCACAAATTCCCTTCCCCATGGTGGGAGTACTGGGAATGGGGGGGGGGGGCACAGGTCTGGGGCTGCGGGTGCTGTGCTGCACCCCAGGGTGGCTCCACTGGTCCAGGGAAAAAGGGATGGGGGGGAAAGAGGAATGGGATCAGGGGAATGGGATGGGTGGAGATGGGTGTGGGGGAATGGGGAAGAGGGAACGGGGACTGGGAATCGGCGTGGGGAATGGGGGTGGAGGGCGTGGATGGGGGAAATGGAACGGGGGAACTGGGCTGGGGGGAGCTGGGGGTGGGGGGAGCCCGGAGGGGAGAATGGGGTGGAGGAAGCAGGGTGAGGGGAAACCAGAAAGGGAGAACTGGGATGGGAGGAAACAAGATGAGAAAACCGAGAGAGGGGAACCGGGATGGAGAAGCGAGGAGAGCGAGCAGGGAGAGCGGGGATGGGGGCAGCCGGCAGCGGGAACGGGGCCGGGCAGGGGAAGGGACGGAGAAACGGGGCTGGAGGAGCCGGGCTGGAACAGGGCGAGGGGCCGGCCGGGGGCGAGCGGGGCACCGGGGGGAGCTGCCTGGGGGTCCCAGCCCCTACCTGCCCGTTCTTCATGAGGTCGGCCCACATGCTGGTGCCATCGCCGCCGCGCATGAGGACGTGGTAGGTGAAGAAGTAGATGCCGGGCAGGGGGCAGGTGAACTTCCCGCTCGACGGCTCGTAGTAGTTGCCCACGTTGGTCACCACGTCGTCGAAGCGCAGCACCTCGTAGCCCTCGTGGGGCTTCCGCAGCCCGGCGTAGAAGGCAATCTTGGGGCTGTAGAAGGAGGGGATGTACCCCCCGGGACCCGGACCCGGCGGTCCCTGGTGGCCCTGGCCGGCCCGGTTCCCCCGGCGGTCCCCTTGGCCCCGGTGGCCCGGGGGGACCCCGTACTCCGGCACGGCCCTTGCGCCCCGGCTCACCCTTGGCCCCCGGCAGGAAGGGTGGCGGGGAGGCGGGGGGCAGCTCAGGGCCGGGGTAGGGGTCGCAGACCATGCGGCAGCTGCCCAGCATCTCGTAGTGCGCGGCCGCCTTGGAGCTGTGCACCAGCAGCGGGATGGCCACCAGCAGCACCAGCACCATGGCCACGCCGACGGCCGCCCCGGCCACCCGCTTCCTGCGGCTCAGCCGGGAGGCAGCCAGCGCCAGAAGGTCCTCGTCGCCCTTGGGAGCGATGGTGGTGCCGGGGGGGCGGACGGCGCCCCGCCGCCCGCTGAGCCTCACGCCCCGGCGGGGACCGGGCTGGGAGAGGGGATGGGGAGGGACGGGGATGGGGACGGGGATAGGGATAGGGATGGGGATGGGGAGAGCAGCAGGGAATGGGGATTGGGATGGCAGCAGGGCTGGGGACAGGAACGGGGCTGGGAATGGGAACAGGGCTGGGGACAGGAACAGGGCTGGGGACAGGAACAGGGCTGGGGACAGGAATGGGAATGGGGATGGGCGCAGGACTGGGACCGAGGATAGGATCGGGAGCGGGGACGCGGCTGGGGCAGGGACCGGCGCTGGTGACGGAGCCGGGGCTGGCACCGGAGCCGGGACCGGAGCCGGGAGCAGAGCTGCGGGTGGAGCCGGGACTTCAGCCGGTGAAGGGGACGAGAGCGGAGCCGAGGATGGAACCGGGAGCGGAGCCACCGACGGAGCCGGGAGCGGAGCCGGGAGCCGGGACGGGGCTGGAGCCGGGAGCGGAGCCGGGGCTGGAGCCGGGAGCGGAGCTCCTGCTGCAACCAGGACCGGAGCCGGTGTCGGAGCCGGGACCGGAGCCGATGATGCAACCAGGACCGGAGCCGGTGCTGGAGCTGGTGATGTAACCGGAGCCGGGATGGAGCCGCCGCCGCCGCGCCGCGCGGGGCAACTTCTCGCCAAGTTGCCCGGGAGCGGGACCCCCTCCCCCGGGAGCGCCCCCCCCGGGAGCGCCCCCCGCTGCCCCGCTCTCCCCGGTGCGCACCGGCGGCGGCGGGGCCGGGCAGCGCCTCCCGGGGCGGTTCCGGCGGGGCCGGGGCTGTCGGGGCGACCCCAACCGGGCCCGGGGCCGCGCCTCCCGGTGTCCCCCCTCCCGGTTCCCGGTGGTCCCCGTGCCCCTCCCGCATCCCGCCGGTGGCCCTCCGGTACCTGTCCGCCCGCGGCGCCGGGAGCCACGTGCCGGGACCGCCGCCCGCGCCGCGCCGCGCCCGCAGCCCCGCTCCGCCCGCCCCGCTCGACGGCACCGGGCACGGCGGGGGCGGGGGCGGGGGGGGGGGGACCAGAGCGAGAGGAGGGGGTGTCGAGTGTGCAGGGGGGAGGGTGCCCGGGGGGCGCAGGAGGGGGTGAGAGTGAGCGTGCGGGGAGCTGCTGGTGCAGGTGTGCACGCGTGTGCGTGGCCGGGGTGCGCTGGGCGCAGGGGAGGTGCTGGGGCAGGGTTGGGGGGCTGCATGGGGGGGGCACGCGTGTGTGTAAAGGGCTCAGCAGCGTGTGTGCGTGGGGCTGTGTGTGTGCAAGCTGCGTGTGCAAGCAGCGTGTGTGTGCACGGAGCTGTGTGTGTGTTTGCAGAGAGCTGTGTGTGCAAGCAGCGTGTGCATGTGTGGGGCTGCGTGTGTGCAAGCAGCCGTGTGTGCACGGAGCTGTGTGTGTTGCACAGAGCTGTGTGTGCAAGCAGCGTGTGTGTGTGCAAGCAGTGTGTGCATTCACAGGGCTGTGTGTGTGCAAGCAGCATGTGTGCACGCAGTGTGTGTGCAAGCAGCATTTGTGTGCAGAGAGCTGTGTGTGTGCAAGCAGCATGCGTGTGCATGCTCAGGGCTGGCTCTGCACTGGTGCGCGTGCAAGGTGTGCGTGTGCAGGACGTGGGCACACGTTTGTCAGGGCCCTGCTGTGCGTGTGCGTTCCTTGGTGTGTGTGAGACGGGTGCAGGGGTGTGAGCGTGCGTGGGCTCAGGGGCACGGCTGTGTGCACGCTGCAGGGGGCTGCAGGGGGGGCTTGGAGGGGGGTTACACAGCCCCACGCAGCCCACTGGGGTCCCTGCGGGCAGGTGGCCACTGGCCCATTTTCAGGGTGCTTTTGGGGTGGCAGGGGGGGACGCACGCAGCTGATCCCCAACCGCAGGGACTCGGGCAGAGCCCCCACACACTGGGGGCTCCTGGGTCCCCCCGCTGCAGGCACAGTGCAGGGGTCAGGATGCGTCCTGCAGCCCCCGGCTGCCTCCGCAGCGGGGGCACGGGGGGAGCTGATTTATGGCTGCTCTTTTCAAGCCCTGCCTGAATTTGCTCCTTTATGCAAAGCGAAGTCTCGCCCTCCGCGCTTGGGGAGCCGGGGCTGCTCCCCGCGCTGCCTCTGAGCTGCAATTAGAGAGAGGAGCGAGGTGCAGGGGGGGCAGCCCCGCACCCCCGTGCCAGGGGGGGGCTCCGTTCCCCTTCGGTGTGCAGGGGCCACGCGTGTCCTTGCAGGGGCAGCGCCCGTCCCTCCGCATCCATGTGCGTGTGCAGGGATGCGAGCTGTGTGTGTGTGTGCATGGGTGTGAGTGCATGCACTGTGCGTGTGCACGCGTGTGCATGCGTGTGAGCAGGCACTGTGCCTGTGCACACACGTGTGTGCGCGTGCACGTTGCATGCTGGCGTGCGGGTGGTGGGAGATGCTCCCGCCGTAGCGCCCGCGCGTAATTTATCCGTGCAGTTTTTAAATTTGCAGGCCTGGCCAGCTCCCTCCAAAGGGCGCCGATCCATCAGCCGGGATCTCGGATGGATTTATGGGCCCTTTATGCGGGGGATCAATGCAATCCTGAACCGCCCGGCGATGTTTGTGCAACAAATTACAGCGGCGGGAGCAGCTCCCCCAGCGGGGACGGGGTCCAGGCGCAATCGATGCTGCCCGAGCTGCTCCCCGGGGACGGGGACGCCGGAGTCCCACCGCCACCGCCACCGCCACCCCCCTCCGCCGGCTGATCTTAATGAGCAGCAACAGTGAATTAATTAGCGAGGCTGCGAGGGGAAGCCCAAGCGCTAATTAGCAAGCGCCGGGGGCTCGCGGGGACTGGGTGCCTGGCCAAAAGGTCCTCGCCCTGGGGACACTGGGGGGACACTGGGGGGCCTGGATGCTCCTGGCCCTGCCTGGGTTCGGGGGGGGGGGGAAGCTGGCACCCGGTGCTGCACCCCAAGGGGGGCAGCTGCGGCCCCCAGCACCAGCTGGCAACGACAGCAAGAAAGGGGCGGGAGGGGAGAGCAAACACGGATGGTAAAAATAGAGGCGGCGGCGGAGAGAAAGGTCAGCCCCGGAGAGAGCGGCAGCAAGGAGCCGAGGGGGGGGGGAACGGGGGGCTCAGGGCCGGATCCTGCCCTCAGGCTCCCAGCGGCCAAAGGAGGCGGCTGGGTTTGGGGGAGCTCGGCCCCATCCAGCCCCACAGTGGTGCTGAGCCCCACACCGGGTCCTGCAGGTGCCAGTGGCCGTGGTGGGGACATCCCGAGTCCCTCAGGGTGCACGGGGACATAGTGGCCGTGAGCCCCTGCCCCACGAATGCCCCCTGCTGCTCTCGCTGCCCCCAGGCCGGATCAGGGACAACGCTGCCGCTGCCGAGGGCCATTGGGGGATGACGGGGATGGTGATGGACACGTCCTGGACCGCAGAGCCAGCAGCTCCGGGGACAAGAGCTGGGAGCACGGCGGGGACACCGCGGGGAGCCGAGCCCCCGGATGAGAGCCGGGGCTGGCAGCGGCCGGCGGAGCGGCGGTGCCGGGGAGCAGAGCATGAATAAATGCATGAAGCCGCAGCCCCGGGGCCGCGAGCAGGGCCGGCAGTGCTGACAAGGGGGGGGCCTTGGTGCAATCGTCCAGCGGGCGCAAGCACGCAGTCACCATCTTCCTCCGCAGCTCCTGAGCACCCGTGGGCTCGTGCAGTGATGTGCAGCCCTGCGGGGTCACGTCCAGCCCCTGTGCCTGGTCCCCAAGCCCCAGGGCTGGACGGTGCGTGCCCAGCGCACGGTGCCTGGGCCGTGGTGCGCCACGAGCTGTGCGAGGTGCATGGGGCATGGACATTTTGTGTGGTGCACAGGACGTGGTGCGTGGTGCACGGTCACGGGCGTGGTGCACGGTCATTGTGCGTGGTCCATGGTGCGTGACGCATGGCATACGGTGCACGGTCATGGTGCATGGTGCATGGTGCACGGCCGTGCATGGGCCATGGTGCAGGACGCACGGAGCATGGTCTTTGTGCACGGTGCACCGTCGTCGTGCACGGTCCATGGCCCGCGGTGCACGCTGCCGGTCCCAGAACCCAGCTCGTGGTGGCCGGGGGACATCCCCGTTCCTCTCCCCGTGCCTTCGCCGAGGCGCTTCCCTCCCAATTACGGCGCCGCGCTGGGACCAGCAGACAAATTGGCGTGTCAGCGCCCGCCGCGCGGGCCGGGAGGGAGCCTTGTGCAAATGAATATAGATTGGCTGGAGGCGCCCGGGCGCCGCGCGCTCCATCCAGGGCATGTTTGCAATAAAGCCAGGGCCGCCGGGCCGGGCCTAAATTGGATGAAAATTGTCCTTGAACGGCGACAATAAACCAGCAGCGGGAGGGGGGCTGTGGCTGGGGGGGGCTGCTGGGGGGGATGCCCGGTGGCACCGCGGCTCAACAGGTCCCCAGGGCAGCAGGAGTGGCCGAGGTCACCTCGTTGTGTGGTGCCAGTGGGGAAAGTGTCACCCGCTGCCCGCACGGGGGGCCTGGCACCGTGTCCCCCCCACCCTGGTGTGCTCCAGGCCTGGCCAGGGCCCCCCCTGCCCCTTTTCCCCGGTGCGCACCCATCCCTGATGCTGCACCCTGTCCCCATCGTGCGCCCTGTCCCCGGTGTCCCCAGCATGCTCCCCGTGCCCCAGCACATCCTATACACTGGCATCCCCCTCCTGCTCCCCCCCCCCCCCCGTCCCCCCCCCGGGCTCATTAGCATCTGCTGCTAATTGCCGATGAGGCGGCAGGGATGTTATTAATTGGGCATGGCCCCGGAGCAGCACGGGGCTGGTGGCTGTGTAGGGCTCAAGACAGGGGGATTTAGGGACAGGGGGTGGGTGACACCAGGGGGACAGGGTGGGGGTTCGTGCCCCCCCCACCCCAAGGCAGCCACCTGGGCTCATCCACACCCCTGCTCCATTGGGCTGGTGCCGGGGGGGGTCCCAGCGAGGGGGGGGGGGGGGCAGCAGCCGTCACCAAAGCGAGGGGACGAAGCGAGGGGATGTCCCTGGGGAGCCCGGGGGCTCCCAGCACAGGGAGGGGGGGGGGAATTCACAGCCCCCCCCACGGCCCCCCCCGGGCTGAGTCATCGCCGGGGCCGTCCATCACGGCATGGCAGCGCGTGCGGAGATGGATGGCTGCGGGCCGCCCCGGATTAATTCTCTGGACAAGCGGCATTTATTAAGGATTCCGGGGACGTCGGGCGGAGAAATCCATCCCGGCCGGGCGGCAATTAGGCAGCCGGCGAGGCGGGCGGCCGGGCCGCGGGGTCCCTCTCGCCGCCCCCCCCTCACCCCACGCTCCCCCTCCCCGCTTGCCGTGGGGTCCCCGGTGCCCCTCGTGGTGGTCGCGGGTTGGGGGCTCGCCCCCATCCCCGGTGTCGCGCCCCGCGCCGGAGGGGCCGGGGGGGGCTCATTGCAGATTCGCCTCATGCCTACCTGAGCCGGGCGCTGACAAATAGACATTTAAATCAGACAATTAGCTGGCCTCCACCGCTGACATTTTTAATGTATTAATGTGCATCAACAGCTAATACATATAAAATTCCCCTAATAACAGCACTTGGGTAAAGGGGCTGCTCTGCAGCCCGGCGCTGGCAGTGATGTACGAGTCCGGAGGGACTCCGGCCCCGGAGTTTGCATTAATTACCAGCAAACTGACAAGGCAGCGTGACATTCGGCACCGCCATCCGATGCCTTCCACCAGCCCTGCGGCTGCGTGCGGGGCGCGTGCACCAACACACGCGCGTGCCCCCCCCCAGGGTGCGGGATGAGCGGTTTTTGGGGGCAGGAGGGGATGTGTGGGGGGCGCGCTGCTGGATTCGGGGACCCGCGTGGGGACCCGCGTGTGCGTGGGGACGTGAGCGGGTGTCGGGACACGTGTGTGCAAGGCGACACGCGTGGGGAGCCGAGTGGGTGGCCGGGAGCCTCCGGTCCCACTCAGGACCCAGCCCACAGGGGGTAGCCCCCCCATCCCCCCCCCCAGTTGGACGCCCCCCGAACGAGGCAATGACAAATGTTTCAATTAGCGGGAAGGCTCCTGAAAATCGATGCCTTAAACGCCGGTGGCCCGGGCTGATCAATGGCTCCAATCACACCCAAAAACGGGTGTCATGGTGGTGGTGGTGGGGGGGCACCCCGCATCCTGCTGCTGGGACACCCCCGGAGCCCCCAGCCCCAGAGGGGCCCCAGCTCCCATGCTGGGGGGGGTTGGTGACGACACCAATGCCAGGAGTGGAAAGGGGGGGCCCCCCCTAAACGCCCCCAACCCCCCCAACCCCATCGACCGCCCAGCTCCACGCACACGAGAGCCAAATTTGACATTTTTAAATCCAGATACTTAAAGAAATCAATCCAGCAGGCGAGCCCCCCCCGTGCCCCCCCTCCCCGCTAGCATCGATCCCATGCCACAGCACGGTGGGAAGGGGGAGGTTGTGGGGGGGGGGGGCACAGTTACCGGGGGAGGGGGCAGCCAGGAAAAGGGGGTGTCACGCCTGGTCCTGCAGCCCCCCCCCAGTGCATCACCCCCCCAAAAATCGGCCCCCCCCACACCCCAACAAGGGCGCAGAGCAGCCAAGCGTGGGGCCGGCCCCGCTGGGAGCCGCTGTCAGGGAGGCAGCCAGGCGGGGTGGGCAGCGGGGGGGGGGGCCGCTGTCAGCCCTGATGGGCAGCTGGGGGGGTTAAGGGGGGGCTGCAGGGTGTGGGGGGGCAGCATCTCAGCCCCCTCCCCGCATCCTGGGGCTCCCCTGGGAGCCAGGAGCCCAGCATCTCCCCCCCCCATCCCTGAACCACGCTGAATTTAAGCGCGGGGGGGTGCACTGGGGGTGGGGGGAAGAAAAAGCGAGGAAGGGGTCACCGCTCCTGGCCCCCCCCAGCCCGAGTCCTCGCTCAGGGAGCGACTGAGTCAACAGCGCGGCGGCGGGGGCCGTTAATAATGAATGAGCCCAAATTGGAGGCCGCAGCGGCTGAGCCGAGCAAACACGGCAGCGGAGGAAAAAGGGGGGGGGGGAAATGTTGGGGGGGGCTGCAAAGGGGGGTTGGAAGATGCTGGGGGGGGGGGGGCACAGCCCCAAGAAATGAGCATCGATGAATTCAAGGGGTGAGGGGCTGGAGGGGGCATCGTGGTGCTGGGGGGGGCACCATGGGACTGGGGGGAGCACCGTGGATTGGGGGGGGCACCATGGGGCTGGGGGGGCACCATGGGACTGGGGAAGGGGATTGGTGGGGGGGGGGTCTGCAAAGGGGGACTGGGAGCTGCTGGGGGGGGGCACAGCCCCAGGAATGAGCATGGATGAATTCAGGGGGTGAGGGGCTGGAGGGGGCATCATGGGGCTGGGGGGGCACCATGGGACTGGGGGGTCACTATGGGACTGGGGGGAGCACTGTGGGGCTGGGGGGGGCACCATGGGACTGGGGGGGCACCGTGGGACTGGGGGGGCACCATGGGGTTGTGGGGGCACCATGGGGTTGTGGGGGCACCGTGGGACTGGGGGAGCACTGTGGGACGGGGATTGAGGGGGGGTCCCCACCCCATGCCCCCCATCCCTGCGGCAGCACCGCCGCGGCTCTGCCCTTTGCCCAGCACCGTGGGGGGGCAAAGTCCGTACCAGGGGGGGGAGCGGAGCCGCCCGTGAGCTCTGTGGGACTGCGGGCAGAGGTGGGTCTGGAGGGCTGGGGGGGGCACATGGAACTGGGGGTGGGCGTGCAGGGGGCTGGTGGGCTTGGGGGACCCCGGGTGGGTGCTGCGGGGTGGGCGTGCGGGACCCTGGGTGGGTGTGGGGGAGCTGGGGGGGGCACAGGGGGTCCTGGGTGGGACGTGGGGATCCCTGGGTGGGCACATGGGGTCCTGGGTGGGCACAAAGGGGTCCTGAGTGGGTCTTGGGGATCTTTGGGTGGGTACAGGGGGTCCTGGGTGGGCACAAAGGGGTCCTGGGTGGGTTCTGGGGATCTCTGGGTGGGCACAGATTGTCCTGGATGGGCACAGGGGATCCTGGGTGGGTATAGGGGGTCCTGAGTGGGTCCTGGGGATTCCTGGGTGGGTACAGGGGGCATAGAGTGTCCTGGGTGGGCACAAAGGGGTCCTGAGTGGGTCCTGGGGATCTTTGGGTGGGCACAGGGGCTCCAGAGCAGGTACACAGCTCCTGGGTGGGCACCCACAAGCCCCGACTGGGCACGGGGGACGCAGATGGGCCTGGCACTGGGCGGGGGCCCACGGGTGGGGGTCCCGGCATCCCCTGATACCCCCAACCTCCCTCTCCCTCCTCCCGCAGGTCACCGGATGGCAGTGCCGTGAGCCCCCCGGGGATGGGCAAGCGGCTGCTGGTGGCCTACGGGCTGTGGGCGCTGGGGGGGCCGCTGGGGCTGCACCACCTCTACCTGGGCCGCGACAGCCACGCGCTGCTCTGGATGCTGACCCTGGGCGGCTTCGGCGCCGGCTGGCTCGGGGACTTGTGGCACCTCCCCGGCTGGGTGGCCGCCGCCAACGGGGCCGGGCCCCCGGGGCAGCGCGTGGGGAGCGTGCCGGCGCTGAGCGCCCTGCGGCTGGCGGGGCAGGTGGCGGTGGGGACGTATTTCGGGCTGGCGGCAGCGCTGGCGCTGCCCTGGGTGCCGCAGTTGCTGGCGCAGCCGCTGGCCGTGGGGCTGGGGGTGCTGCTGGTGTCCTCGGTGGGCGACCAGGCCTCCGAAGCAGCCCAGCATCTTCTCCGCGGCCTTCCTCGCCTCCCTCCTCTTCCAGGGCCGGGTGCTGGCAGGTGCTGCCCTCCAGTTTGGCCGCCAGCATCGCCGCCCAGCGCCGCCGGCGCTATAAACGCCCCGGGGCGCCCCGGCCGCGGTTGCCGGCCCGGCTTTACCACCTGGGGCTGGCCTACTTGGCCTTCGCCGCCCCGCTCGCCTACGGCGTCCTCAGCGGTGCCGCCGGGGTGCTGGGTCCCCCGTTGCGTTGGCTCGGGGCCCTCCCGGCGCTGCCCCGCGCCGTGGCCGAGCGGCTCCTGCTCCTGCCCCTGCGTGCCGGCCGCATCCTGGCCGAGCTGCTGGGTTTTGTCAGCCCCTAACCCAGCGGCTGGAGCGAGAGGAGGCAGCGAGCCTACAAGGTGCAGGATGCGGTGCTGGGGGTGTGGGGGGGTGAAGAAATTAAATAGGGGGGCATGGGGTCGGGATGGGGGTGGCACGGGGTGCAAGAAGCCAGGTATCAGGGTGGTGTGGGACTGAAGGGGTTGGCTCAGAGGCACTGCGTGGCCCCTATTGCTGCTGTTGCCCCCCCCCCCCCAGCATCCATCTCGCCCCCAGGTCCTGGGCATCCCACCCAGGCGCCGCCCCCGAGGACGTGCACAGGAGCTACCGGGAGCTGGTGAAGCTCTGGCACCCCGACCACAACCGGCACCGGGCCGAGGAGGCCTGAGAGGCGTTTCATCGAGCTGCAGGAGGCCTACGAGGTGCTGGCGGGGCCCAGGAGGGCCGCAGGGGGGGTGATGGGGCTGGCAGACCCCAGCCCATGGAGACCAAAGGCTGCTGGAAGGGGATTCTGGAACACGAGGATGGCTTCAGGCTGCTGCCGTTGTGTCTCTGCTCTGCGCGATGCGGTGCTGGGGCCGGCACCCTGCAAACCAGCACAGGGGGAGTCCATCAGCCGGCGGAAAAGGGATGTGCAAAACTTTGCACCAGGATCTGTGCAAAACATTGCACTGGGGTTCCTGCAAACCATTGCAACAGGGGCTGAGCAAAACAGTGGCACCAGGGTCCATGCAAACCATTGCATGAGGGTCTGTGCAAACCATTCCACCAGGGCTTGTGCAAAACATTGCATGAGGGGCTGTGCAAACCTTTGCACCAAGGGCTGTGCAAACCATTGCACCGGGGTCCGTCCAAGTCATTGCACCAGGGTCTGTGCAAAATATTGCACTGGGCTTCTGCAAACCACTGCAAGAGGGTCTGTGCAAACCATTACACCAGGACCTGTGCAAACTGTTGCACCAGGGTCTCTGCAAACCATTGCATCGGGGTTCGTGCAAATCATTGCACCAGGGCTTGTGCAAAACACTGCATGAGAATCTGTGCAAACCTTTGCACTAAGGGGCTGTGCAAAACGTTGCACAAGGGTCTGTCCAAACCATTGCACTGGGGTTCGTGCAAATCATTGCACCAGGGTCTGTGCAAACCATTGTACCAGAGTTTGTGCAAACCATTCCACCAGGGCTTGTGCAAACCATTGCACTGGGGTTCGTGCAAACCATTGCAAGAGGATCTGTGCAAACCGTCACACCAGGGCTCATGCCAGGCGCTGCAGGGGGCTCCGCACCCCACTGGGTGCCCCCAGCCAGGGCCAGACCCGGGCGGGGCCTGGGTGGCGGCCCCGGGTCTCGAACCCGCGGCCTCTCGAGCTCCGCCCTGGCCGCCCCGCCGCTCGGCACTTTCCGGAACGCGCTCGGGCGTTTCCGGCGCGGGGCGGAGGCTCTCGGCAGTTTCCGTCCACGTTCGGCGCCGGCCGCCCCGCCCCGCCCCGCCCCTCAAGGGAGCTGGGAGGCGGGGCGTCGGCCACGGCCGGATCCGATTGGCTCTCGCCAGAGGTTGGTCCCGCCCCTCGCGCGCGCGGGAGGCGGGAGAAGGCAGGACCCGCGCGCCCGCATTGGTTGTTGGGACCCCTCCCGCCCCGCGCGCCGAGAACCCCTCTCATTGGTCAGACACACTCGGCCCGACCCCCGCCTCGCTTCCGATTGGCTACAACCGAAGGAAGGCGGGCTGAGCCCGAGCCTCTCCCTCCTCCTCATTGGCTGCATCGCCCGAGGGGGCGGGAGCAGCGAGGCGGCCCCGAGGCGCTATTGGCTGCGAGGACGGTGCCCGCGTCCCGATTGGCTGGCGCGGCCTGAGGGCTCCTGCCGGGCTGCGGCCCCCGCCCCCCGCCCCGGTGCGCGGCGGCGGCCTCAGGCCCGGGGGGGGCGGCGGCGGCGGGGCTGGGAGCGCCCGGAGCCCCCGGGGCCGCGGCCGGTGAGTGCGGGGCGGCCGGGAGTGGGTCGGAGGCCGGGGAGGGGGTGTCGGGGAGCGGCACCGGGGGCACCGGGAGCGGTGCAGGCCCCGGGGGGGGGGGAGGGGGCACCGGGGGGGGGCTCCCCGCGGCCCGGCCCTCAGCGCTGCTCCGCTTCCGGTTGGGGGGAGCGGGGCCGGAAGCTCCCGGTGCCCCCCGTACTCCTCAGCCACCTCCCGGTGCCCCCCGGTCCCCTTCCGGTCCCCCCCCGTCTCCCCGGTGCCCTCCCGGTGCTCCCCGGTTCTCCCCCGTTCCCCCCCCATCCCTCCCTACTCCCCTCTGCCCTCCCCGGCCTTCCCGTTTCCCGTCCCCGCTTCCTCTCCCGGTGTCCCCCGGTCCCCTCCCGGTGCTCCCCGGTTCCCCCCGGTTCTCCCCCGTTTTTCCCCCCATCCCTCCCTGCCCCCCCCTCTTCCTTCCCCATCCCTCCCGTTCCCCGACCCCGGTTCCTCCCCGGTCCCCCCCGGTCTCCCCAGCCCCCTCCCGTTCCTCCCCGGTCCCCCCCGGCCTCCTCCCGTTCCTCCCCGGTCCCCCCCCACTCTCCCTCATCCCTCCCCGGTGCCCTTCTGCCCCCCCCCCCCAGCCCTCCCGTTCCCCATCCCCATTTCCTCCCAGTTCCCCCAGTCCTCCCAGCCCAGCTCCGCTGCCCCCCATCCCGCAGGTGCCATTTTTATCCTCACCCCCCCACCAATCATCATCAGGGCCCGTTTTTAATTACCCCCTCACGCTTCCCCTCGGGCCGCCAGACCCGAGGTTTTCGGTAAGAAAAGGGGCAAAAACGGCTCTCCGGGATCACGGCCTGGCCCCGGGGGCGACGTCGGGGGAAGTTTTCACCACTTTGGGTTGGGTTTTGAGAGCCGGCGTCTCCCTGCACGTGCTGCTGCTGCTGCTGCCTTCCCTTCCAAAACGCTGCGATTTGTTCCTGTTTTTAGGTGATTTGGGTCAAAAGCGACTCCTGATCCGAAGGATGCGTTCAGCCTCTTAGAGGTGAAACGGTTCTTAACGGCGAAGCCGAGCCAGGGATGTTCGGTGGTGCTGGGCATCGCTGAGACTCGAGCAGAAAGCTGGCACGGGCGGTCCTAAATAGCCAAAACACCTCAAAACACCTCAAAAGGACCCGGGGCAAGTTTCCCTGCAGCCCCGAGGGGCTTGGGGAAAAGGCAGGTGGGCTACGTGCCGAGCTCGGGGGCTGTGCACGGAAAGCCCCCCCTAGCCCTCCAGTGCTTGGCCGGAGCCTTTCCCTCCTGCCTCGTGCCCGCGGTGCTGTGCAAAGCACCCAAAAAACCCGACAGCAGCCCCCCGGGGCCACTTTCTTTGGTCACCGAGCACGGAAACGCCGCGTTTATCGCGGGTCGGCACTGGGCGGGGTGCCGTGACGTCCTGGGAGCGGGCACGGGGCTGTTTTATCACCCCAAGTGCCCGGCCCTGCTTCCTTGTGCTGCCCCAGGAGGCCCAGCTCACTCATGGAGGCGGGTGTGGGAGAGCTGCCGACGGTCGGTGTGAGGATTTAAACAGAACACAGGCAGCTGATTATCTCTGAAGTTAGGTGCTTGGTTCGTTCCTGCACAAAATAAGCGGCCTCAGGAAATACTAAAAAAAACAAACAAACCACCACCAAACCACCACAAAACCCCCGAGCCTCCAGAGTGAGATTAAGAAACCGTTTTATTCGGTCCTCTGCACCGCACGGCTTTACGATCCTTGGTGGTGGAGGCGGCTTCGGGAAGCTGCTGGTCCTGATTTGGGGGGAAGAAGCCCAAGAATTGGCCGTGTTGGGTTTGTTTGTATCGCTGGACGTCGTGCAGCGCAGGGGTGATAACGCGGAGAAGTTGGCTCGAGGTGACCGAGGCCTCTGCTGCCCTGGGAGAGGGGCACGGCTGTGGGTTGGCCTCTAGGCAAATTTAACAGGAATTTGTGCAAACCACTCACCAGGGCTTCTGCAAACCACTGCAAGAGGGTCTGTGCAAACCATTGCACCAGGACCTGTGCAAACTGTTGCACCAGGGTCTCTGCAAACCATTGCATCGGGGTTCGTGCAACTCATTGCACCAGGGCTTGTGCAAAACACTGCATGAGAATCTGTGCAAAACGTTGCACTAAGGGGCTGTGCAAAACGTTGCACAAGGGTCTGTCCAAACCATTGCACTGGGGTTTGTGCAAATCATTGCACCAGGGTCTGTGCAAACCATTGTACCAGAGTTTGTGCAAACCATTCCACCAGGGCTTGTGCGAAACATTGCACCAGGTCTGTGCAAACCATTGCAAGAGGATCTGTGCAAACCGTCACACCAGGGCTCACGCCAGGCGCTGCAGGGGGCTCCGCACCCCACTGGGTGCCCCCAGCCAGGGCCCGACCCGGGCAGGGCCTGGGTGGCGGCCCCGGGTCTCGAACCCGCGGCCTCTCGAGCTCCGCCCTGGCCGCCCCGCCGCTCGGCACTTTCCGGAACGCGCTCGGGCGTTTCCGGCGCGGGGCGGAGGCTCTCGGCAGTTTCCGTCCACGTTCGGCGCCGGCCGCCCCGCCCCGCCCCGCCCCTCGAGAGAGCGGGGAGGCGGGGCGTCGGCACGGCCGGATCCGATTGGCTCTCGCCAGAGGTTGGTCACGCCCCTCGCGCGCGCGGGAGGCGGGAGAAGGCAGGACCCGCGCACCCGCATTGGTTGTTGGGACCCCTCCCGCCCCGCGCGCCGAGAACCCCTCTCATTGGTCAGACACGCTCGGCCCGACCCCCGCCTCGCTTCCGATTGGCTCCAACCGAAGGAAGGCGGGCTGAGCCGAGCCTCTCCCTCCTCCTCATTGGCTGCATCGCCCGGGGGGCGGGAGCAGCGAGGCGGCCCCGAGGCGCTATTGGCTGCGGGGACGGTGCCCGCGTCCCGATTGGCTGGCGCGGCCTGAGGGCTCCTGCCGGGCCGCGGCCCCCGCCCCCCGCCCCGGTGCGCGGCGGCGGCCTCAGGCCCGGGGGGGGCGGCGGCGGCGGGGCTGGGAGCGCCCGGAGCCCCCGGGGCCGCGGCCGGTGAGTGCGGGGCGGCCGGGAGGGGGTCGGAGGCCGGGGGGGGGGTGTCGGGGAGCGGCACCGGGGGCACCGGGAGCGGTGCAGGCCCCGGGGGGGGGGGGGGAGGGGGCACCGGGGGGGGGCTCCCCGCGGCCCGGCCCTCAGCGCTGCTCCGCTTCCGGTTGGGGGGAGCGGGGCCGGAAGCTCCCGGTGCGCCCCGGTACTCCTCAGCCACCTCCCGGTGCCCCCCGGTCCCCTTCCGGTCCCCCCATCCCTCCCTACTCCCCCTCTGCCCTCCCCGGCCTTCCCGTTTCCCGTCCCCGCTTCCTCTCCGGTGCCCCCCGGTCCCCTCCCGGTGCTCCCCGGTTCCCCCCAGTTCTCCCCCGTTTCCCCCCCATCCCTCCCTGCCCCCCCTCTGCCCTCCCCATCCCTCCCGTTCCCCGTCCCCGGTTCCTCCCCGGTCCCCCCCGGCCTCCTCCCGTTCCTCCCCGGTCCCCCCCCACTCCCCCTCATCCCGTCCCGGTGCCCCTCTGCCCCCCCCCAGCCCTCCCGTTCCCCGTCCCCATTTCCTCCCAGTTCCCCCCAGTCCTCCCAGCCCAGCTCCGCTGCCCCCCATCCCGCAGGTGCCGTTTTTTATCCTCGCACCCCCACCAATTATCATCAGGGCCCGTTTTTAATCACACCCTCACGCTTCTCCTCGGGCCGCCAGACCCCAGGTTTTTGGTAAGAAAAGGGGCAAAAACGGCTCTCCGGGATCACGGCACCGGCCTGGCCCCGGGGGTGACGTTGGGGGAAGTTTTCACCACTTTGGGTTGGGTTTTGAGAGCCGGCGTCTCCCTGCACGTGCTGCTGCTGCCGCCTTCCCTTCCAAAACGCTGCAATTTGTTCCTGTTTTTAGGTGATTTGGGTCAAAAGCGACTCCTGATCCGAAGGATGCGTTCAGCCTCTTAGAGGTGAAACGGTTCTTAACGGCGAAGCCGAGCCGGGATGTTCGGTGGTGCTGGGCATCGCTGAGAGTCGAGCAGAAAGCTGGCACGGGCGGTCCTAAATAGCCAAAACACCTCAAAACACCTCAAAAGGACCCGGGGCAAGTTTCCCTGCAGCCCCGAGGGGCTTGGGGAAAAGGCAGGTGGGCTACGTGCCGAGCTCGGGGGCTGTGCACGGAAAGCCCCCCCTAGCCCTCCAGCGCTTGGCCGGAGCCTTTCCCTCCTGCCTCGTGCCCGCGGTGCTGTGCAAAGCACCCAAAAAACCCGACAGCAGCCCCCTGGGGCCGCTTTCTGTGGCCACCGAGCACGGAAACACCGCGTTTATCGCGGGTCGGCACCGGGCAGGGTGCCGTGACGTCCTGGGAGCGGGCACGGGGCTGTTTTATCACCCCAAGTGCCCGGCCCTGCTTCCTTGTGCTGCCCCAGGAGGCCCAGCTCGCTCACGGAGGCGGGTGTGGGAGAGCTGCCGACGCTCGGTGTGAGGATTTAAACAGAACACAG